TCGGAGTGGCAAAGAAGTACCAGGGGCCTAGGGGCCCAGACTTCTCTCTGTCTCACCTGGAAAACGGAAGGACTTTGCCATTCTTACCTCCACCTCTCCTGGCTCGGGCAGGGAGGAGTGCAAGGGGGAGGAGGACCTCGGACCGGCTGCTCTTTGGGGGACCACCCCCCCCACCCAACCCTTCCCAGAGGCACCAGGGTTGCTTCACCCTCACCCCCCACCCCAAACAGACTTCAGAGCCCCCAGTCAGTGGCGCTCCCTCTGGCCCAGGGCCCGAGCCCCGGTGCCCCGGGGTGGGGGCAGCTGCTGCCCTGTTTACTGGGCTTTGACAATAGAGCTCTGTGGTCTGGAACACCCCGCTGTGTGTCTGCGCCCCACGCCCGCGCCAGCCCGCGCCAGCCTCCACCCCCACCCGGAGCCAGGATCCAGCCCAGGGCCAGCCAAGGAGGCATCGTGGACTGGGAGAGGCGCCTGCCACACGCACGCAGCGCGAGGGTGGCTGTGTGCAAGCGGCATGCGGGAGGCCGGGGTCATGGCCGCGGGGCCAGCCCCAGCCGCACCCGCCCTGCCACCAGGCACCTCCACCGGTAACTGCAGCAACAGGCCTCGCTGCCTCCTCGTTGCTATAGCAACGGCCGCGCACGTGATGCTGGGAGGAGGGAGGCCTGCTTGGCGGGCGGGCGGCCAGAAGGGCATCTGGTTACGGCAGGCAGTACAGGTTCAGCCCCACCTGGGCGCCCCACCCAGCGGCCTGCAAGGTGGTCAAACCCCTGCTCCTGGAGACCAGCCTGCCACCCCACGCTGTCCCACTCCGGGCCCCCTCCTCCTGCGTCAAGGGGAGAATAGGTGAGGCCTGAGGATGGAGGTGCTGCCCTCCACTCCAGGGACTTGGTGACAGTGACCTGGTCCCCCCACCAGGAGTAGCCTATGGCCCCAGGGTAGAACGATGTCCAGCTAAGAGGGCACAGGCCACACTGACAGATGGAGAAACCGAGGCACAGAGCTTGGGAAGAGGGAGCAAGCAGGGCACAGAGATCCTTGGTTTCTACTCTCCAGACCAAGCTTTCCACACGACACACGCCCCCCACAGCAAGGCACACAGCACGCAGGGTAACACCTCTGCCAGCCAAGCCCAGGGGTCCAAGGGTGAAGCCCAAGACCCTCCCAGAAAAGTGGGGGACTGTGCCCGACATCTAGCCAGCCCCAGCCCATGGCGTGGGCCCAGCAAGGCCTCAGCCACCCTGGAGGAGGAATTTCTGGTTTGCTGTGGCCACAAACCGAGAACCTCCAGATGCCTAACCATGCCCTGGAGTGCTGCGGGGCACGGGCAAGGAAAGTTCTGGGGGAGGTCCAACCTGGCATGCGGGAGCTACTCCTGGGTGTAGGTCAGTGGGCACCTCCCACCTGCTTGTCAGGTACCCAACGAGCCACTGCTCCCTTCCCCGAGCCTCGGGGTCCCCAGTGGATGCTGAGGCCATCATTGGAGCCTCTGCTCCCAGCCCCCGGGGGTCCCTCCTGCCAAGAACTCTGGGGCTGATACTACTGCATGCCCATGTCCCAATCCCCCTTCATCCCCGGATCCCCGCCCTGCTGTCACCAGTGACCCAAAACTTGAGGTGGAGGAAGCTGCGCCAGAGGCTGCCCGAGGCTGCAGGCCTGATCCATGGAACCCAGTGCCAGCCAGCCCCAGGCGCCCTGGGCAGGGAGTGTACACAACCCTGGCTCCCTGCCAGGGCCAGGTGCCCAGGGGAATCCTGCCAGGCCCTGGTGATGATGGCCACCCTGCCCATCTGCAGGCCTGGGTTTCCCACTGTGCACTTCAAAACCCCTCTCAAGGAGGGACCCAGGCAGGAGCTGGTCAGCCCAAGGGGTCCCGGGGCCAGGGGGAACAGGAGCCTCCCAGACCCCAGACGGGCAAGAGGATGCCTCCGCCTCTGGCTCCATCTCCAGACCCTGACCTGCTCTGGGCCCCATCCTGGAAAATCCCCAGGGCCCAGTCAGGAACCCGAGCTGCCCAGGCCTCTCTGGTGTGTGTGGCTGCTGCCGGTTGGGCAGGCCAGCAGGAGATGCCCCTGTCCTTCCCAGGGCCAGAGCAGTGACAGTCGGCATAATGACATCCATCTCACCCCGGCACCGCTCCTCACCGGGGCTTCTGCCCCTGACAGCTGCTGTGCCCTGCAACCTCAGGCACAGGGCAGAGAGCTGGGGTGGTCACAGCTCCAAACAGCACGACCCAGTCCCCAGAGGAAGTTGGGTGGGGGAGATCAGAGAGTGGTTCAGCTTCAGGGAGGATGGCCCCAAAGGACAAAAGGATGCAGGGACTCAGGCTGGCTGAGACTGGCACAGCAAGGACACTGCCGGTGGTGAGAAAGCAGGAGCAAGGGCCAGTGGATGTGGGCGGGGGAGGAGGGAGGAGAGGTGCCTGCCCAAGGACAGAGGGCTGCTGCACGGAGGGGAGAGGCAGGGTCCCTGCAGGGGCGCCAGGGGGCTGGGCCCAGAGACCACAGAGCCTCTGAGCTGGACCCATACACCCAGCCAGCCCTCTGCCCCGGGAAGCAGGGCCTCTCAAGACCCCAGGGTCCCAGGGCCACCTCCCACCCCCGAAGCCGGCTCCGGAGAGCGCGTTGTGGAGGACGCCCGCTCCGTGACTCATCCGAGCACCACGAATGTCAGCGGACGCGGGCGGCGGGCCGGGCACTGCCGAGCCCCCTCCCCGGAGGCCGGAGCGCGGGCAGGGGCGGGGGCGGGTGAGGGGTCTCCGGCCCTCCGCCCCGCCTGCCCGGGGTCCGCGCGTGCCTGGCCGGGCCGCCGCACGTGCCCGCGGGGAGCGCGCCGCTGGCCCCGGTGCGCGCAGCCTCCCGCTCCCGCAGGCCCGCGGCGCGCGGGGTCGCTCACCGGGCTCCGGCGCTTCAGCGTCACGTTCTTCCAGAGCAGCAGCTGCAGCTGGTGCAGGAAGCCCATGGCGGGGCCGCGCTCCGGCCGCCTCCGCGCCGCGGCCCGCTCCTCTGCGCGCCCCGCCGCCCGCCGCCCGCCGCGCCGCTCGGCATCGCCCGCGCGGGGCGGCGTCTCGGGCGTCCGGGACCGGTTCGGCGCTGGCTCCGCCCCGGCGGCCGCGGCGACAGCCGCTCGCGCCCGCCCCCCGCCTGCGCCGCCCCCGCTTAAAGGGGCCGCCCGGTGCCCGCCGCTCGGGCCCCCCGCCCGCCCCCGTCCGGGCCGTTCCTGGAGCTCTGACCCGCCAAGAGGGGCTTTCTGGTCGCCCCCCCACCTCGCTAGGCGTTGAAGTGACGCGCCCAAGAGCCCACATCTAAACCAAGACCCCCGACTCACTCCCTTCCAGGGCGCTCTTCTCCCAGGGGCGCCAGGCCTGTGCGCAGCGCCCCACACCCTTGAAACCCTCCTCCCACAGCGGCACCCCAAGGTCGTCACTGGCCCTGGCCGAGGGCGCCCTGAGGGGATGCTGGGAGAGGTCGTCCCCCACCAGGTCCCCACCTCCCCCTTGCCCTCCCCGCAGAAGGGCTGATGGCAGGAATTTCATCTGGACCTAAGAGACAGGTCCCAGTGCCCAGGGCACTTGGGGCCTGGAGGGAGGCAGCCGCCCACACTTGGGGAGGGAGCTCCGCCTTGCATGCAGATCCCACCTGTGCACAGGGCGGGCCCTGCTCTCACCTGCTTCAAGACTCAGCTTTCCTGCCCCACTGGGTGCAGCCCCGACCTGTACCCCTTACGAGGGGGTGGGGCTGGTGAGAGGGGCTGCAGGTGGGCTGCCCTACCCCTGTCAGAGTTTCCTGCGTTCCTTGTGAATGAGCCGCTTGGTGACCAAGTAGCAGGACTGGCCTGGCTGGGCTCGGCCGGGGCTGCAGCTCCCTGGGCCCAGCGAGGAAGGGAAGGGACCCAGAGAGAGAATTGCTCCCTGCAGGTGGGGTAGGCCGGAGTTCGGGGAGACTGAGGCTGCTCCCTCTGTGAGTGGCTCATTTTTCTCCCTATATGCGAGGGTGAGTCTGGCCTCTGCACAGGGAGTCTGGGGTCCAGTGAATTCCGCAGAGGTGGTTTGGTGCCTGCCGGAGTCAAGCGGCGGGACAGCCGGAGGCCAGGTCTGAGCCGGGTGGGGCGGTCCATTCCCAGGGAGGCCAGCAGAGGTCAGGCCGGCCCCTGCGGGGAACAGAGGCCTGGCGGTGGGTTCTGATGGCTCCTCCCAGCCTCAGTTTCCCAACTTGTGAACGGGACGGGCAAACCGAGTGGTGTCCAGCGTCTGGGCTGCACAAAGAAGACGCATCCTAAACTGAGTGGCAGATCTGGGGGCCGCGCCTCCCCACCCCGTCCCAGCTCCTTCCTCACGGTGCGAGGAGAAGCAGTCCCGGGAAGAGGGGCAGAGCACAATCCCCAACCGCTCCACCCTGCAGCCTGAGGACACTTCCTTCTCCTCGGCCAGTACCGGGGCTAGGGCAGGGCAGGAAGTCACCGGCGGGCCTTTCCCACAAGCCACTGCCAAGGGGGTGGGCAGCTTCCTGCCTCCACCTGCTGCCCACCCCACCTGGGGCAGGGGCGAATGCGCTCCTGGGGCCCTGTCAGTACCACCCAGAGGCTCACCGTCAGCCTCCCCTCCCCCCGCACAGCCTGCCACAAGGGCTCCCTTGGCTGCAGCAGTAACCTTGGTGCCTCCTCGATGCCCATGCTGCCGCCAGCCACCAGTCAGAGAGAACCCCACGTCAAAAACCAGACCTCGTCACACCTCAGACACCCTGCAGCCTGAGAATGAAATCCCAAGGCCTTCGAGATGGGGCACCTTCCCCCGCCCCAGCCGCATTTCTGTCCTTGGCCTCTGCTCTCCGCCCCTAGGCCTTTGGGGAGTCAGGGAAGCCTCTCTGCTGCGGTGCCATTCAGTGTGGCTGAAGCAAGCTGGGAGGACAGAGGTCTGGGATGGAGAGGGCGGGATCCGGCCAGGACAAAGACCCGTGTGGCCAGGGTGGCAGCGGGAAGCAGACTCGACGCGTGCCATGCCATCCGTGTCCTTTGTTTCTTTATTGATTGGTGTCCCCTCCCCCGAGGGGACTGACTGCAGGCTGCCAAAAGCCCAAGAAGTTGGTTGGCTGTCTCGGGTCCGGGCCACCCAGGTCTGTACGCGGGGCTCCAGCCTGCACATCCCGGACGAGGGGACTGTGGCTACAGAGGTCGGGGGCCCAGGTTTTGCCCCCACAGACCTCAGGAGGACAGCCTTGACCGGCCCAAGGTATGATCAAGGTGGGGAGGGAGGGCCTCTGTAGCCTGTCATCTCTGATGGGCCCCAGCGACGTGCACCCCCATTGCTCCCTCCCTGCTCACACCTCTGCCCCCAAATAGTGGCTCCAGTGCCCACCCGCCTCCGCCTCCGGGCAGCCTGCCAAGGCTACCCCTGCTTCCTGGCCTCCATCCCCAGCACCCAAGTCAGCCTGTGGGTTGCCCTTGGGGGTTGGTCGGATGCCGGTGGGTTGGATTTCAACACCCAGGCCTCCGCCCACGCCTCCGGCTCCCAGCCACCTTCCCCTGCCTCCTCCAGCCGGCAGAGTTCAGGTCTGGAACCAGCCCTCGAGGTCCTGGTAGGCCTGGCCACGGGGCAGGTGGGGGTAGCGGGCGCAGATGGCACAGAAGCGTTCCCGCCAGTCGCCGAACAGCCGCACTCGGAGCCGGTCTCGCCAGGCGAAGTAGCGCCGATAGCGGCTCTCGTTCATGCCAGCGAGGAAGGCGGCCAGCTCGTGGGCCGAACCGAAGTCGTCCACGTGCACAAAGGCATCAGGTGGGGCGAAGGCCTCGTAGGTGCCCCTCGAGGGGCCCAGGACCACGGGCACCGTGCCGGCCAGCAGCGCATTGCGCCAGAACTTCTCGGTGATGTAGTCCCGGTGCTGGGAGTTCTCGAAGGACAGGTAGAAGAGGTACCGGGCCACGGTGGGCAGCAGGCAGTCGGCGCACAGGGGCTGCTTGGTGGCACGGCCGAACACGTCCACCTGCAGGTGGGGCGCCAGCTGCCGGTACAGCTGCACGCGCCGCTGTCGCTCCTGGAAGTTGCTGACCACCCAGGCGGCCACCCTGCTCTTGGCCGGCAGCGGCGGCGCAGGCCCCTCACGGGGCTCCAGGCGGCCGTAGGGCACGAAGATGTCTGAGTCACGCCGGTAGCTCAGCACCCAGTTGAAGACCCCACGGAGGCGGCCGAGGCCGCGGGTGTGGCTGGGCGACTCCATGGAGGCCCACACCCAGGGCTGCCCTCGCGGCCGCTCGGCCAGGGGCAGGCGGGCCTGCCGGGTCTGCAGCTCTCGGTGGTGGAAGACCACGGCATTGGCGCTGGCCAGCAGGCTGCGGTTGGTGGTCAGGCGGCAGTGGGCCACACCGTAGCTGGCGCAGGTATTGCTGGGCAGCTCTGGGGGCTGGCTGGTGAAGGGCCACTGCCAGATGAGGATGGTGATTGTGGGCTGGGGCGCCGGAGCTCCCCCAGGGGCCGATCTGAGCAGCCACAGGAGCCAGAGGGCCGAGAGAAGAGCCGCTACCGCCAGGCCCCCCAAAGCCCGAAGCCTTGGAGCGGGGCTTACCCCTGCACAGGACACAGGAAGAGAGTCTGTCTCCTCGGGCTCACCCCAGGCCCCATCCTCCCAGCCCAAGCTTCCCCGAAGACCAGACACTCACCGGCATTATGCATTGGCAGCTCCCAGATTAATTACTCGAGAAGCCGGAGGTTCTCAAATCACAGCCGCGGCTGCACGGGGATGCCCTGAAATCACAGCTGCACCCCTGCACCCAGCCCCACCTGGAAACGCCGTCCTTTCATCTGCTCAGGAGGAGGGCAACCAGGGTACCTTCCCGCTCCTGTCCCGCCCTCGCCCCCGCCCCGAGGTGACCTTTGGCATCACTGCCATCCTCACCCCGCCTCCCCCTCTAGTCCTCTGGCTGCTGAGGGGAGGCGGCCACAGGAAGGGCGCCCAGCCAGGGTCCAGGACCGTGTCCCCAACCCCGGCTGGCCTCTGGAAAGGCCTGGAGGTGACGCACGGGGCAGGCACGGGAGGCAGGAGGAGGAGAGGGCCCGCGGGACCTCAGGGAAAGGGAGGCCATCCTGCGTGGAGGTGGCCCCCGCCCCAGAAGGGTGGCCCAGCCACTGAGCACCCAGCTATTGCCTGCTGCCCAGGCCTGGGGTGCCCGTGGACAGCAGGCACGCTTCCCTCGGAGGCCAGCCGAGCCCCGGCCAGCACCACCTCCCCCAGTGCTGTGTCATCACCCACTTCCCCTGCTCACCGCCCGCTCAGCTCCGCCGTAGGCTCCCAGACCCTCTTGCCGCAGATGCGCTGCACTCAGCTGTTTGCCAGGAGGCTGAGGTCTGTCCTGTTCTTTGCTTCTAATTGGGCCACTCCACCCCACCCCACCCCTGCTGCCTCTAGGACACCTTTGTCCCAGAACCCAGATTCCCAGAGAGGGGTTCCATCCGGGGGTCCTAGGAGTGTCTGCCCACACAAGGCCCCAGCACGTGCCCACGGTGGGCAGGTGCCAGGCTGGGCCTGGCCCCGGGGTGGGCTGTGGGGCTGCCAAGGAACCATGTCTGTGGAAGCCCCGGCGGCGGGGCCCAGGTTCTGGCCGGGCCGGGAAGAGCTGCAGGAACCTGGGGTGGGAGGCCTGCCCTTGGGGTCTCCAGGTCTCTTCTTCCAGGTCCCACAGCCCAGGGTGGGAGTAGGGGCAGGGAGGGGGCTTTCCAGGCTGGAAAGGGAAGGAGTCGCTCTGTCCCTGACGTGGGCAGGGGGCTGGCACCCGCTCCAGGAAAAGGAAGGCTGAAGTCCAGAGTCCCTCTCCTCCCCCGCCGTCCGGCCAGCCCTGGAGGCCCAGGCATGGAGGTCCAGTTCCTTCCCCTTTTGCTCTGGTTCCTCGGAGCTGGACGGCCCTGGCTCTGGCCTGCACCCCGCGCTCAGCCATCAGCTTCCTTCAACCTGGCTGGACGTGGCTGGGCAAGGCCCAGCCCTCATGCTAGTGTCCTAAAGGCCTCAGGCCAGTCCAGTTTTTGGAGGCTGCGGGCTGGGTGTCGTGGAAGGAACAGCAACCAGGAACCAGTGGTTGGATCTGCCGCCCACGCCATCCTGGGCGCCTCCCATCGCCCCGAAGTCCCTGTCCTGATCCATGCGGGCTCCCGGGGCTGCTGGCCTCCCCCAGCTCCCGCCCTCCAGTGAGGACCAGCCTGCCCTCAGGGCAGGAACCGGGGAGCTGGCGGCAGAGCCATGGAGGGGGACAGAGGCAAGTCCAGGAGAAGGGGGGCAATGTGGCCCCTCTGAGGCTCCCCACCCCCTGCATAACCTCTGAGCTGCGGTGAGGCCTTGTGCAACATCGGCGGGGGGGGGGGGGGGCGGAGCGGGGCCTGCGGGATCTGTCGGAAACCATCTGGTGGCCCAAGGTGTGGATGCAGCCGCCAGGCCTGGCTCCCACGGGCCAGCGTCAGGCCCTGACCGGAGCAGACAGCTACTGCCACCCCTGCCCTTCCGGCACCCGTCATTTAGAGAGAGGACCACAGTGGCACTGGGCCTTTGGTCCCACCCAGGCGTCCCTTCCCTGGCACGGGGGCCCCGGAGGAGACCACCCCCTCTCCCTGTGGCAGGCGCCCCTCGGGCGGTGGGGGAGAGCAGGAAGGAGCTGATCCCGCCACAGCCTGCCAGTGACCTGGCTCCTGGCTGCCAGAGCCTCTGCCCTTCCTGTTTGCACTGCCAGGCTGGCTGGGGCCCTGCCACCGGCCTCACCCACACCCGCAGCCCACTCCCTTCCTGGGTGGACTTGAAGGAACCTCCCCCACCCTTACGTGAGGTCTGCTGCTCCTAGGGGCCCCTGGCATGCCTGCCAGTCACTGGGGCCCCCCCGTTCGTGAGAACCTGCTGGCTGGGAAATGGGGCTCCAAGGTTGGCCCAGAGGTGGGTCAGAACGAGAGGTTCTCAGAGGAAAATGAAAAAGGTGAGAGAGTCTGAGTCAAAGGGAAAGTGGGGCCTCCTCCTGCCAGCTCAGCCCTGGGCCTCGGAGTCACTGGGATGCAGGCGGGCACCCACCTCCAGCTTAGCAGCCCGTGAGCATCTGGGACCCAGGAACACAGGGTCACTCCTGCAGCTGAGCGCAGGGCTGCTCCAGGGCCAGCCTCCTGGCGGGCACCAATCAGACGGCCCCCAGCCTGTCCCCAGGGTCCCTGCTTCCCACTGCCCAGGGCCCAAGGGAAGAGGATTCCCCTTCCGGCGGCCTCCGCAACGAGTTAGGGGCCAGCAGACCGGGTCAGGGAAGGGAGGGCAGGGTCTTGGGGTCCCCCAGGGAGGAGGGCCTCCCTCAGCCCACTCACCGGGCGCAAGGCCCCGAGCAGCTCCATGTCCGTCCCCATCTGGCTTTTTTGGCCCCCACTGGCCCCAGGCGAGCTCAGACAGAGCCGGCCCCTGCTTGGTCAAATCCTCAACCACCCTTCCTTTCACAGGCCCTGGGGTGCAGGGGGCTGCCCTGGTGCTGGAGCTGCTGCTCCCGTCCCCAGCCCAGGTGCCCTGCCCACGAGCACTTTTCCTGGCCACCACACCAGGAACCCTGAGCCCACCTGGGACTCTCACAGGCCCCATCTCTGGCAGTCCTCACCCCACCTCCACCCGGTTCTCACTAGAGGGCATGGGGGGTAGCGGGGCCGGTGATGCATGTGTGCCTCCGCTCCTTAGGAAGCTCCCCTGGCCTGCTGTCCTCCCGAGTGTAGGTGCCAGAGGGTGACACTGCCACAGCCCAGCATAGACCCTGGGGCTAAGATGGTGCTTGGCACAGACCGCGGGGTGGGGTGGCCCCCTAGCCAAGAGCCTAGGCAGTGGGAGCCTCCCCAGCTGCAGACCCCACGAGGAGATGTCCTCCCGCCGCTGCGCAGGTTGGTCCTCCTGCCAGCCTGGGTGGCTGAGATGCTCCGGGGTTCCGAGTCCCCACCCTGCACCCCCCCAGGGCCCTGGAGGAGCCCCCAGCAGGTCCTGGAGCTCCCCCTGGACAGGATGTGGCCATGCTCCACAGCCTGGGCAGGAAGGGAAGGAGGGCTGGAGGGGCTGGTGGCTTCCAGGTGGTCCACGGTGAGGCTGGAGGCTGCTGCCTGCTGTGGCTGCCCTCCGGCACTGCCCTCGTGCTGCTCCCTCAGCTGCACCCCCAACCTGGGGCGCCCACCTTCCCAAAGGCACTCCCTGAGCCCCTGCCTCACCCTCTCTCTGGGAGTAAAGGGTGTGCGGGCTCCCTCTGCCGCCTTCAGCCCGCTCCTGCAAGAGCCGGGGGCTGGGAGCATGGCCACCAGGGGGCCTTCTGGGCACGTGTCTGGACTTGGCTGTGCTCAGGGCCACCCCTGGGGCAGACAGCTGGGTAGCCAGGCTCTGGCCCTCTCTCCCTGAGGCGCCCCTCGGGATGGGGCTGCGTGCTCCCCACTCCTGCTGCCTAGGTGCTGTCGTCTGGAAGGTGACAGTGGTCAGCACGTAGGGTGGCCGCTCTCTGCCCAGGTCAGGCCAGCACGAGGTGGGAAAGGCAAGTGCCAGGAGCTCGGGGACTGACCCCAGGGCTCCAGGGGAACCGCCGGCCCCGGGTCTGCAGGGTCCAGCTGGCGAGACGGACTGGCCTGGCCGGATCAGCCTGGGTACCTTGCTCTTGAGTGAGAATTTAATCTCTCTGCCCCCCAGTTTTCTTCGTGGCTATTTCCCCTCACGATACAGATTAGATGACAGTGGACAGCGGTCCTCGTCGCCCTGCCTGCATCCCACCCTACCCTCATTCCCAGCTCCCTGTACCCGGCCCATTTCATCTCCCACACCAGTGCCTCAAAGGAAAACTGAGGCTTCCTGCTGAGGGCCAGCCCAAGGCCACGGCCCAGGAGTCAGGGGTGGGCTCTAGCCCCAGAAACATACCGCTTTAGGACAAGCCATTAGCTCTAAGCAGAGCCAACCCCATTTCCCCGGCCCAGCCCCACCTCAGGGACCTGACTGTCCCAAACTGGCTTTGTGCCCCCCATTCACGGCTGCCCCCATCCATCTAGGAGCCAGAGGTCCAGCATTCTCTAGACGCCCCACCCCTAGGAATCACTAAGGGGCTTCTGAACCCAACCCATCCCTCATTCCCAGCCTTGGTGAGGCAGACAGGTCTGATACCCACACCCTGTGTGCGCCAGGCCCCCGCTGCCCCTGGACCCCAGAAACCCCTCTGCCAGGCCCAGTCTTGGCACTTCTGACCACGAAGTTCGGCCACCACTCTGGGCCTTCAGCTGGAGGTCCCCTCCCCCTCCACTGGCCTCCTTGCTCCTTGGCGGGGGATTGGGGTGCACCAAGACCCAGCTCCTGACACTCAGGGCCCCTGCCACCTCTGTCCCCTAACCTGGCCCACCCACCTGTGTGCAGCCTGGGTCGCTCTGCCTGGCGTGCCCCCCGCACAGGCTGCAGGGGCCCACAGTCAATCCTGCATGCCGTCCCTCCCCGCCCTCCAGCCCATGTGGACACAGGGCAGGAACGGAGGCCTGGGGTGCCCGCTCCCAGCCCTTTTTATCACACAAGAGGATGGCGTCTTGAGGGAGGGGCACCAACTTCAGACTGGCCTGGCCCTGCGCCGCACTCCTCCCCTCCCCAGCTCTGGGGCACGAGTGTTGGTGGGGGGAGGCCTGGAGGAGAAAGAGGTTAGGGTGGTCCTCTGCCTAGGAAAAATAAAGCCTCCCTTCCCCAGCGGGCGGTGACAGGGTCTTCCCACGAAGGGCACAGAGATCCCACCTCTCTAGGGGAGTGGAAGGAAGCCTGAGGCCCCGTTCCAGGGTCCCTCCGCGGTGGCTCCCAGTGGCGGGGATGGGGGAGGTCAGTCTCCAGCACACCCAGCCAAAGTTTTGAAATGTACTTTAATTGGCTTGTCTCCCAGACTCCCAATCCATGCCTTGTCTCTCGGGTTGTCTTCCTCCCCTCGACTGGGGGTGTCCAGATGTGAGGGGGCAGGTGCAAGGAGCAGGGAAGGTCCCTGGCAGCAGGGGGAGTCTCCCCGGCAAGGGGTTCCCAGCCGCCCCGGGGCCCCAGCCGCAAGCACAGTGTCAGGACACAGTCTCTTTAATGGGAAGGGCTGGGGCCTGCCCCTCCCCACCCGTGGGCAGCGCATCCACGAGAGGGTGGGCATCAGCCTTCGGGTCACTGCAGCGGGGGCGCGGACAGCGAGGCGTGGTCGAACAGTGGGTTCCGCACCTCCATCTCTCCAGTCTGCGAACGCTGGCGTTAGGTGGGTCCAGGGCTGGGGCGGGACACCCACCGCCCACCCCCGCACTCACCGGGGCCAGGCCGGGGCACTCGTACACCGTGAAGTCGCCGTCTTCGTTCTCCTCGTCAGAGGAGGCGGAGTCCAACTCCTTGGGGGGCTCCTTATGCCTGGGTGGGGGCAGGATCGTCGGGTCCTCCCTCACCCTCCAGGTGCCAATGGCCCGGGATAGGGGCGGGAGCAGCGGGCCGGGGTAGGGGTGGCTGGCCCAGGGGTGGGGCGGGGTGGGTGGGGCTTCTCACCGCTCCAGGCACCGCATCTGCTGCCTCTGGTGCTGGTAGTGGTACATCTCCGCGCTGTGCGCCAGCCGCTGGTCCCCGGGCTGCTGCGGGAGTGGGGAGACAGGGTCAGGTCGAGGCGGGGCGGCGGGGCGGGGCGGGACGGGGCGGGGCGGGGCCGGGCGCGGCCACACACCGAGATCCTGGGCGTGGCTGGGGAGCTGGGCGCCTGCGGGGCCGCATAGTCGGCCTTTTGGGTCAGGCGAACGTCTCGCTGCAGCCTGCGAGGAGTGGAGACACCACACCTGTGACCCGCGGGGTCACCGCCCAGCCGCCCGGCCGCCCGCCCCCAGCCCGGCCCCAGGCTCACCGACACCAGCAGAGAACGGCCACGGCAAGGGCGGCCGCGCCGGCCACGGAGCACGCCACGATCAGCACTGCAGGGAGGGGGCGCAGTGAGGGCAGCCTTTCGGGCAGGACCCTGCCTCCCCGCCCGGCCAGACTTACGGAGGGCGAGGCCATCACCGCGCCCGCCCCGCGGCTCCAGCGGGGACATGTGCACAGGCCCAGATGACACAGTGGAGCGCAGGGAGGTGGTGCGGGGCGTGGGCGCTCCCCGCGTGGAGGGGAGGCCCAGGTTGGGGCCCCGGCCACGCTCTGAGAGCCCCAGGGTGGATGCTGCAGAGGGAGAGCAAGTTAAACGGCAAGACCAGGCCGGGGTCAAGGGCGGTGGGGAGTTGGACAGGGGAAGGGGGCGGGGTCTCACCAGCCTCCAGGAGCCGCAGTCGCCCTTCAGGCTGGGGTGGGGCCGTGAGCCTGGAGTGCCCCGCCTCCTGCCGGGCTAGCTCCTGGGCCAGGAAGTCGATCTCATCTTCCAGTCTGGGCTGGGGCAAGCCCTCCCCTGGGGAGGGTGAAGGGCCATCAGGTGGAGAGGCCCCCAGCCCCTCCCTGGCAACACCAGCTACCCGGAGCCTTCCGAGAGGGAGAGAGGGAGAGGCCCATCTGGGAGCCAGCCCCAGGCCGAGGCCTCCTTCTCCCTGCAGGCTCCTCCCAGGCACCTGTGGCCAGAGGACCAGGTACCAGCCTACCTGCTCCTGGCCATCCCGGTTGCCATGGTGACAACTGAGGGAGCTCTGTGTGAGCACCAGCGTTCCCAGGAAAGCGGGCAGGGGGTGGAGGTGCTATGGGAACGTGCAGAGGCCAGGAGAAGGGCAGGGGTGCTGCCCCACACCCCACGCATTACCCACAAAGTGGTGGGAGGAGCACGGGGACAATGCGTCACCTGGCCCACTGCCTCCGCTGCCAAGACGAGCAGGACCCCCCAAGGAATGCGGAGAAGCCCCATTCTGTACCCCCGCCCCCACCAGGTCATCAGGAGGAAGGGAGGGCCGCTGCTGGGGCGGGGCCGTGGCTGGCTCCCCCTCGGCCCTGCCGTGGGCACCACAGTCCGGACAGAGGCTCCAAGTAGACGCCCCCGCTCAGCACCCAGAGCGCAGAGCATGCGCCTTCTGCAGCAGGCCCCCGCCCCGCTCGCTGCCAGGGACATGCTCCTCCAGAAAGCCCCTCCCAGCCCACCCGACTCTTCAGCCCCCAGAGCACCTTCTGCAATGCCCCATCACACCTGGAGTCACTCTGGCTGGCACCATCCCGACAGACTCTGGGCTCAGGCCGGCGGGCAGGGCACCGCCAGCGCAATCAAGCAGACAGGACAGGTGAGCAATGGAGAGAGAGGGGTCGCTGGGCAAGGAGCAGGGGTGGCCCAGCGGGTGGAGAAGTGGGTGCCTGAGGGGTTTGGGACCAACTCTGCGGAAACCCAAGCCTGGGGAACTCTGACCCCGCCTCTCCCAGAATCACCCCAGCACTTCACACTGGATACCTCTTGCCCTGGGAGGGGCTAACTGCCCCAGGCCTCAGCCCACCACCCAGCTCTGGGCTGGTGCTATCTGGAAAGGATCGCCAGGCCACTTGGAGGGTGACTTGAGAGTCCCTGGCACCCCACAAAGCGCAGGAGACCTGAGAGCTAAGGCTGGGGTCAAATGTACCAGATGGGGGAGGGAGGAAGCCATACCCTGGGGCTGGCGCAACCTGGGCACACACAGCCCCTGCGGGTCCTCCTGGAAGGGCTGAAGGCAGGGCCCACAGACACGTGCACCCGGGGGGCACCGCGCCCGCCTCTTCAGGGCACAGTCCAGGCTCCCAGGACAGACGGCTGCATCTGAGAAGAAAGCGGAGGCAGAACAGGGTCACGGCCAGCCTGACTCAGCCCCTGCACAGTAAGTAGGACTGTCCTGGCCACCCCAACCCCTCCCTACAGAGCCGGCCAAGCCTGGCTCCGGCCATTGTTCTGGGCAGGCCCTTCCTCCCCTGCACCAGGAATCAGAACCAGGAAGACAAACAGTCCTAACACTTATCGGAACTCTTGCCTCACTCCCTCCCCAGAGTCCACTTCCCTGACCTGAGCCAGCTCTCCGCACAGGAACTGTCCCCTACCATCCAGAGAACGTTAGGGCCTTGCAGCGCTCCAAGTCCCACCTCCAGTCTCAACCCGTCCTAGAGCGAGTCTCTCACCCCTGCCCAACCTGGGAGGCCCAGAGGGCGGGGCCCAGGTCACTCCCTCCCACCACCTCGGGGCTGTCTCCTATTTCAGGGCTGCCTCCCCACCCCACCCCACCGCAAACCTCATCATGACATCCTACAGCCCTAGAGGGCCAAGCTGGGAGACAGCACAGGTCGAATCACTGCCCCCACATCTAACCTCTGGCTTGTCCCCAGGGCACAGCCGAGCCGCTGGGGCTGGGGATACTTGCGATGGAGTCTGCCAGTCTCACTTGCTTCGGAAACACAAACCAGGCCGGGGTCACTCCTGCAGCCACCACTGCCAGGGACTGGGGAAGGCCTGGGACTACAGGCCAGGCCATTTCTAATTTGGGGCCCAGACCTCAGTGTCCTGTACACGTGACCAAGGCTCCCATTCTGATGCTGGGGGGTGGAGGGTGGTGGCCCTCTCTGCCTCAGTTTCCTCTCTGGATGCAGAAGGTGAGTTGCCTCAAAGCTGGGGAATGTCTCGGGCTCCCCTGGTGGCGCAGTGGTTGAGAGTCCGCCTGCCGATGCAGGGGACGCGGGTTCGTGCCCCGGTCCGGGAGGATCCCACATGCCGCGGAGCGGCTGGGCCTGTGAGCCATGGCCGCTGAGCCTGCGCATCCGGAGCCTGTGCTCCGCAACGGGAGAGGCCACAACAGTGAGAGGCCCGCATACCGCAAAAAAAAAAAAAAAAAAAAAGGTGGGGAATGTCTCAAGACCTGGGACACTAGCCCCATTCACGGGACAGCAGAGCCAGTGGAGCCAGGGGGAGACCCAGCAGAACCGTCAGTGGTGTTGGGGAGGTCGGGGTGGGCACATCTCGGAGAACCAGGACAGTCCCTGCTGCAGGAGGGTGACATGGGGCACCCGGGAATGCCCGCTCTGTCCTCCTCCAGACTTTGGCTGGCCTGGCTTGGTTTCCTTGATAACCTGACACCCACAGCCTCTTGGCTGTAGGCATCCCTTCAAGGAAGTTCCAGCAGCTCCTACAGCAGGTGGGCAAGCGGGCTGAGGTTGCCATCCCAGGGATCCCCGCTCCAGCACAACCTGAGTCGGCAGGCGCCCATATCAGTGAGTTGGGCCCAGGGCCTGGGCTAGTTAAACATTAAGCCTGTGCCATCTGGTCTGTCTGGACCCCACCCACCAGCTGGGCACCTGGGGAGCCAGGCAGCCGCGGGCCCTAGTGCAGAGAACCCAGAGTGCGCCAGAGCAAGGGTAGAGGCCTGAGTTCCAGAGCTGGCTCTGGGTTCCAGGTTCCGGGGCCTCCCTCCACTCCCAGTCCCCCAACCCGGGACGATGTGGCTGCTGCCCATTTAGCCCTGGGAAGGCCCCTGCTCCAGACTCAGGGTGAGGGACGAGGTCCCAGGAACAGCAGCAGCTGGAGAGTGCCTGGCACCCTGCCCCGCGGCACCTGCCCAGCCCAGAGGCTCAGTACTGGGACTATAATCCGTTTCCTCAGGAGGCCCCACCCTGTATGCCCTGGAGCCAGGCCGTCAGCAGGCAGCCTCCACCATCCGTGGCCAGCCATGATCTGGCCCTCAGGCCTCCTTGGGAGCCTACCCTGGTGGTGCCAGGCCTCTGTCCAGGGGTGCTGTGGCCAGGAGGAAGCCTGCCCTGCTCTGGCCTCTTGAGGCCACACATGCAGACCACACGCACTGCCCGGGTTAGCATCCCAGCGGCATCATACAGTGGTCACTTCTCTGTGCCTCAGTTTCCTCACCTGTAAAATGGGCTGAGAACAGCACTTCTCCTATGGGGCTGCCAGGAAAAATGAGTGAAGTCATGGGTACGAAGCCTCCCAATTCTGCCACCTGGCAGAGTGCATTTTGGGTTCTGCGTTCCTGCAGACCTTTGGAACCTCAGTGCCCACCTGGGGAGCCAGGAGCGTCTCCCAGGACCCTGGGCTCATCCCTCTCTGCCTCAGTCTACCTTGGGGGGTGCCCTCCAACCCCAAGCACAGAAGACAGAATGGAGGGGCCCTGCAGAGCAGAGGGTGAGTGTGGAAGCAGAGACTGTAAGCTCCTCCTGTCCCCACTGAGGCCAGAGCAAAACCCTAAGCCTGGGACAAGCTGTCAGATGCCCAAGGAAACTTCAGACCCCACCATGGCAGCAAAGCAAGGCGCATGTCCACCACCCGAGGCACAGGGACCGACCAGCACTGCGACTCCGACTCCAGGACGGACACCGGCAGTAAGGACGGCAGGCACCCAGGGCCGGGCCCGCATCCGCGATGCCCGAGACGCGCGCACACACAGAAACGCCCACGGGACAGACTCCAGGCTGCGGGGCCACGCAGAGAGAGCCCTCCTGAGACACCGACCCACCAGGCTCACGGACCCAGACAAAGACATGAAGCGAATCAACACCAGAAGCCGGCACAAGCGCCATCCAGAGGAGCCCCTCGGCAGCCCGGTGCCGCGCCCTCCCCGCCGGGCCTGTTTTCCCGACCCGCGAGAGGCGGGGCCGGCGCGGTGGCTCGCAGGCTGGGCCTGCGGAGCCCGCGGGGCCTGAGAGGCCTGCGGGCCCTGGCGAGGGCGGCGGCGGGGAGGATGACGGCGGCGCCGCGCGGCCGGACCCCCGCCCGGCGATCCCCGGCCCCGGGGCGCCCCGCGCGCGGCCTGCGCCCAGTGCACTCGCTCACCCGGGCGGCGGGCGGCCGCACCGCGCAAGGCAGCGCCGAGGACGAGGCCAGAGAGCAGCAGCCGCAGCAGCCGCAGGTGCCGCGGGGAGGGCGGAGGGACAGGCGTCGCCATCCTTCAGCGCCGCCGCCGGGGCAGCATGGCACCGCGCGGCCGGGGGCTGGGCACGGGCTCCGGGCGCCGCGTCGGGGGAGGCGGCGGAGGCGGAGGAGGAGGGGGCGGAGGAGGAAGACGAGGCAGAGGCCGAGGAGGCGGAGGATGAGGAAAAGAGGCGGCGGCGGCGCTGACGCTGCGGCAAACGATCCGGGACGGAGGCTAGGCAGCGAGAGGCGCGCGTGCCGGGAGTGCGCCTGCGCGCTCCACCTGCGGGGGCGGGACGACGCCGTGAGGCTGCGCCCCCTCTCCCTCCCTCCAATTCTGCTCCCCCTTCCACCCACCCATCCAGCCAGTCCTCCGGGTGCCTCAACCACTGCCGCCTGTGCTGCCGGGGATGTTCTCTAGGCTAGGGACTGGTTGGGGATGGGTTTCCCCGGGATGCGCTTCCCCCGGGCCCCGTCCCTCTCGGGCTGCTAACTCCCACCCCACCCCCACCCTCCTGGAGCGGAGGACCTGCCTGGACCTGGAAGGACACCAGGCACACACAGCTGGACAGGTGCACAGAGATGCCCAGGTGTGCGCAAAGGCCCACCAGGCATTCAGACACACTGTGAAGGCAAACACACACGCACAGAACGAGGTCGGTGCCGGTGGCCACGGTGGTTGCAGTGGGACGGCCGCTCTCAGTGAGGCCACCAGGGGGCAAGAGTGACCTGGAGCTACTGATGACAGCCAGCTGAGAGCTGTCCACGGTGCCCAGGTGACAGCCTTTTAGCTCCGGGGTGCCCCACGGCAGCAAGCACTGTGATGCCCCCTCTTACCCCCCACCGGCTGCCTCCTGAGAGTACCCGCACCCCATCCCACCTGGAAACCTCCCAGGCTCACGTTACTGAGAGAACAAGTGCGGGGGGGGGGCGGGGGGGGAGGGGGGCCCCAGCACGGTGCTTCCTTTCAGCCCTTTGTGTTTCAAAACTTCGAAGATGGGGCTGGCTGCCCTCAGGTTTGTGAAATGGCTCAGAAACCAGCAGAAGTGTACGTGGTACGTGCGTTGGGCAGGGGGGTGATGAGCGAACAAGGACTGCCATCCTCCCACACAAGGCATGACCAGACAGAAATAGTGTCTGAGCTCACTTCCCAGAAAGGGGGAGGTGGCGGGGAGATGCAGCCAAGACCACGCATTCCCACGCTGGAGAAAACAGTGCTTAGGGAAGGGGGGTTGCAGGAGCGGCAGGTGGGGGTGGCTGATGTCTCTTGAGGACGCGGAAAACAGCACCCAGGCAGCAGGGACGCGACGTCTGGTGTGACTGCACGGCTTGGCGCCAGATCCAGGCTCCTGGCAAGGGTCATCCTTCTGAGCAATGGGCCCTTCGTCCGTCTTGGCCCCCGATCTCCACATCCCCCGACACCACCTCCTGTTTAGGGTTTGCCCCTCACCCCCCCAAGGTCTTGAGCATTGCCTGCACCCTAGGCAGCTGCCTTGCCCACTCACTCTCCTGCCTGCCATTCGCACCTGCACCCCAGGCCAGCTCGAGGCTGGGGCCCAGACTCCAGTCTGGCCTAGGTCACTGCTGCAGATCTGCCATTGCTGCAGGGGCTCTGCTGGCCAGAGAAGACTCAAGGGACTCAGTGACTCTTTTAGGCCAACCAACTAGCAGCTACTCCAGGCCACAACCGTGGAGCAAGAGACCAGGGTCAGTCAACACCACCCCAGGTCTGGGCCCAGAGAGGAAGGAAGTAGAAACAACCGGGGTCCTCCCTCGGGACCAGGAGGGGGCCTGTGCACCCAACACAACTGCGGGGAGGGCTTCCCTGGTGGCTCAGTGGTTAAGAATCCGCCTGCCAATGCAGGGGACACGGGTTTGAGCCCTGGTCTGGGAAGATCCCACATGCCCTGGAGCAACTAGGCCCGTGAGCCACAACTACTGAAGCCCGCGCACCGCAACGAAGAGTAGCCCCCGCTCGCTGCAACTAGAGAAAGCCTGTGCGCAGCAACGAAGACCCAACGCAGCCAAAAAAAATTTTTTTTAACTGTGGCGAGGGAGGGCCGGCAACAGCAGAGACGCCCCACCCCACGGACATTCTCTCCACTGCTCTATGAAAAACTTTTTACTACAAAATTTTTACAAGTAGGCGCTGGGCTGGCTCCCAGCTTGTGGGCTCTGACCCTCCCCCTAAAACCCAAGACTGGGGGTGGGAGGGGACTCTCAGGACTCCATTCCCTGCGGACCCAACCCCGCATTCACAGGCTGAGGGCTGCGGGGTGTCTGAATCCCCACCCACAGTAAGAGGAGGAGGCACACTAGGCCCTGCGATGAAGCCAAGGCAGGAGTGGGCAGGAGGGCGCTGGAGCCGGTTGCCTTCGCCGATCCGGCCAAATGTGGGCGTGGTCGCCAGAGCCTTGCTCCCGGGCTTCATTAGGGACAGAGATGTTGAGAGTGGGGTGGGGTGAGGCATGGGGGACTTGGGGCTGGGGCAGCTGCCCCCAACCTGCCCCTAGATGGCGCTCGGCGACTTGGCAGAGCACGCCCGGTGCAGCAGAAGGACGAACGCAGCCAGGGGCATGGCGGCGAATAGCAGAAGGAGGACGACCCAAGAGCTGAAGTCCGTGCCCTTGCGCAGCTCAGGCGGGTCGGCGGGGATCAGGTTGGTCAGGTTCAGCATGTAGCCGAGCGCCCAGCCGACAGCGGTGTCCCCGGCCTACGGGCGGGAGGCGTGGCCTCAGCCTAGGCGCAGCCCGGGAGGCCCCGCCCCCCGCGCTCGGCCCCGCCCCCCTGCGCGCGGGCCCACCGGCTCCCACCTTCTTCTGGAAGGTCA